TCTATACATACTCACTTCTTAGGGGATTTCATCCATTAAGCTCTGGTGCAGTGGTTAAAGCATTCAGTTGCTAGTCAAAAGGTCCACATTTTGAACCTACCAGCTGCTCCATGGGAGAAAAGTGAGGCAGCCTACTTCCATAAAGATTTACAGCTTAGGATACCATATGAGGCAGTTCTACTCTCTCCTAAAGTGTCACTGAGTTAGAATTGACTCAATGGCAGTGGGGTTGTAGCTTCATGATGCTTTAAGTATTATCCATGTGGTGGTTACTCCCAAATTTATATCTCTTGTCCAAACTCCCATCCAACTGCCTCCTAGTAATCATATTGTACTTAACATTTGAAAATTAGGTTTCTGATTTCTGTCATCCACCCTCAAAATCTGCTCCTCCCTTGGTATTCCCCATCTCAGTAACTCCATCCTTCTAGTCATTCAAGTAAAAAATCTTGGTGTTATCATTGTATACTCTCACTCATATTCTTTACCTCATCCATTAACAACTCCTGTACATTCTACCTTCAAAATGTATCTAGAATTTGAGAATCGTTTTTCCTTCCCATTGCTACTTCCTGCTTCTGTCATTGCTACACTATTGTCTTTTTTTCCCCTATGTTCTTTTTGCAACAGCAACAGAGTATTATTTTAAAACTGTGAGCCAGCTAATATCACTCCTCTGTTCAAAACCCTCCACTGGTTCCCCATTTTACTCAGTAATATGGCCCTAAAAATCCCATTCTCAATCCCCCTCACTCAGCTCTAGCTACACTGGCCTCCTTACTCTGTATTGAAAAAGTGAATTTTACTTCTATTTCAGGGCCTTTGTACATGCTATCTCACTACCTAGAAGGCTTTTCTTCTCAAGTGTCTGCTTGATTTGCTCCCTTACTTCCTCTAAGTTTCTTAAATGTCATTCGATGAAGCTTCCGCTGACTACTGCTATACAAAACAGTAAACCCTCATGATCACAACCCTCTCTATTGCTTCTATGTTCTCCACAGAACATCTCACCATCTCACATAAATATATTTACTTTATGTTTCTTATTAGTCCCCGCTAAATGAACGCAACCTCCACAAGGGCAGAAATTCTGTTTTATTTATTACTATATCCCCAGCAACTGTAACAGTGCTTTGAACAGGCACACAACAAATATTTGTCAAGCAAGTATATGGTTTAATGATAATAACTGCACTTACTATACAGCAGGCACTTAAATGATAGTTGTTAGCATTGTTCTAAATTTATAGATGAGGGAACTGAAACTCAGAGAGGTTAAGTAGCTTGTCCAAGGTCATAAAGCTGGTAAGTTATGGAACCTGAATTTGAAACTAAGCAGCCTAGCTCCAAAACTCATTGCCTCAAAGGAGCCCTGGTGGCACATAAGTTTAAGTGCTTGGTTGCTAACCCAAAAGTTGGTGGTTCAAACCCATCCAGTAGCTCCATGGGAGAAAGACCTGCTGTCTGCTTCCGTAAAGATTATAGCCAAGAAAACCCTTTGGGGCAGTTCTACTGTGTCACATGGGGCCATGAGGAGTTAAAATCAACTCAATTGGCACCTAACAGCAACAACAACAATATTGCCTCGATGAAACAATATTAGATGATAACCCCCAAATGAAAATAAACAAAAAACAGAAACTAAGTGTGAAAGCCTAATACATTTTATTTTTTCCATGATGACTACTTCAGCGCTTCCTTGGAAATAGCAAATAATCGAAGTTCTCTCAGAAAATATTTCCTTCATTTTACCACAATAATAGAAATAGAAAAAAAATTTTTTGGTGGCTGTGCTTTGCTAGTGCACTAAGTAGCGCTTACTCAGCCTATTGAGTAATCAAGCACTGGCCACAAACCTGCTTGAATTGATCTTCCTGCAGAACCAGGAAGGCTGGACTGGAGGGTGTCAACATCATGAGGCTATTGTCCAAAATTCACACCACCCACAAAATATTTCTGGGAGCGCAGGGGTGCTGGTAAACAACACTAGCAACTTCCTTCTTTCTTCAAGCCATCAATATCAGAAATGGGCTCAGTGGCTCCCTCTGCATCACCACACAGAGCAAGCAATGTGATACAAAGCAAACAGCATGAGTTTTGGGTTCAAATTCTAATGCATCAAGATAAAGGCTGTGTGTGACCTTGGACAATTTATGTATACCCTCTGAGATGCAGAAATTTCCGAATCTCAGTTCCTACATTTGAAAAATGAGACTAACACTATACATCTTCCTGTGTTTTTAGGGCTAACTTTTGGAAAGTGCTCACAGAGTCAAGAACAGAGTTAAAGTTACTCAAAGAATGTGAGTTCTTTCTTCTACTTCATAAAGTCATGTGATCAGCAAATGAGACAATGATTGGGAAGCTAATTTCTAAAATGCAAGAAGAGTGCACAGAGGTACAGACAACAAAGATAAACCCTTTTACATAGACAATATTGCATTGTCTGTGAAAACAAACATTAATCTACAAGTAAATAGATGGGTAGACAGGCTGAATAATCAGGTATATCTAGGCAAAGGGGAATATACCCATGACCATATATAAGGTTGGCAGATGCTGTATCTACATAGGTATTTCTATGTGCTGTAAGAAGGTCCAAATATACAATACAGCTCACAAGGGGCAAAGTTATAACTTCTTAACCACAGCCAACTACCCTAAGGGAACAAGTAGTTGGACCTGTAGGCTCAGGACCATGGTCTCAGGGGACATCAAGCTCAATTGCCATAACATACTATACAAAAACATTGTTCTACATCCTCCTTTGGAACCTCTGGTGGCATAGTGCCTAAGGCATTTGAGGCTAACCAGAAGGCTGGCAGTTCAACCCACCAGCCACTCCTGGGAAGGAAGATTGGGCAATCTAATCCCATAGAGATACCTCCTCAGAAACCCAAGGAGGGGTTGCTATGCTTGCAAGTGGCCATCTAGATGCAACAATGGCTCTGTCCTTGTCCAGAGCAAAGAAGAATGAAGAAAACCAAAGGTACATGGAAACAATTAGTCTAAGGGACTAGTAGATCATGTGATCCTCAGCCTATGGAACCATGTTAGATGGTGCCTGGCTACCACTGTCAACCACTCAGAAAGGAACCAGTGCAGGAGATCCTGGAGAGAGTGGGAGAACAATGTGGAACAAAACTCAAAATCATTAAAAAAAAAAAGACCAGGTTTACTCGTCTGATAGAGCCTGGTGAGACCCCTGAAACTATGGCCCCTAGTTACCCTTTAGGTCTGGAATTGAACTCACTCCGATGGCTTTCAGCCAAACAATAGACAGGCATATAGGGTGAACATTTACATCAAGCAGATATACTCCTTAGAACACTCAGTTGTGGAAGAACAGAAGGGTAATGTTTGCACATAGCTGGCGAGGGGCACAGGAATGCATAGGATAGAAGGACACAGGGAAGAGGTAACTAACTACAGGGAGGAAGTTGGAAGAGAGCTACATTGTGAGGAATTGCAGTCAGTGTCATGAAACAAAACTGTTTTATGGAAAATGAATTTCCTCTGTGAATTTTCACCCAAATCACAACAAAAATTAAAAAAAAAACAAAAACAGCGCACAACTGAGGAGTCACATCTGGAAGTCAGGGTGAGTGAGCACCTTACTTTTCTTATTCCCCAGGTTTTGTTTCCAACATCTTCAGCAAACTTTTCATCATTCGTAAGAAGGAAACTGTCAAAAATGCTGCCTGATTTCACCTATAAAAATGAAAACAATGAGATTATTAGAATTAATACATTCTATTAATATTTGGTAGAGGACTTCCGGTAAGATGGAGGAATAGGCAGACAAGCGACACAGACCCTCTTCAACAAAGAAAAGAAAAATCA